ATGGTAAGATGATGTCATGGGGTAGGACTGGATAAGTCTGACTTCTTCCTACTCCGTTCAAGCATGTACTAGGTATAAGCAAATTGATATTAGATTATGTGTACAATCATGTGTGTTGTCATATTAACTGTTTTTACATGCTTGAAAGAATAAATCAAATCAAATCAATTGTCGAATGACTGTGTTTTTCTGTCTGTTCAACAGGAAGTTGCAACCACAGATTAGCAATCAATCAAAGACTCTTCAAGCAAGCATGTCAACTTTGAAGACCTCAGAGGAGATGACACTGTATCACAGCACAGTGAAAAATCCTGCAGTGGTAAATGGCCATACTGTTTTCAATCAACCTTTGAAAATGTGTTAAAATGACAATTTTTTTAAATTTGTTGCTTCATTTTATTCTGATTTCTACACATGTAAATGTAAATTTGTACTTTTCTATATAAATTAGTATGTTTTTTTGTATATATTGTACATTTTATCATCTGAAATGTTGCCTCCTTGGCTGCCTCTGTCTTTTAACTTGTTGCTGATGGCTTTTGATGCTTACTGGCTTTAACATTATAGAGGTGAAGTCACTTGAAGTGAAGTGGTATTGTGTGTAGCTTGACATCAGATTGACAAGCAGGGTTGCAGCTTGTATGGAAAATTAATGTACAGTGTTAGAGATTTTTTTCTCCTTTTCTTCTTCCTCTCCCAGAAACGCCCCATTCCTTCTGACTTGCTGGAAAGGCTAGCTGTTAAGAGACAAAGACTAGCAAACCAGAGGTTGCAACAGCAGCCTGCTATAAACAGACTCTCAAACAATAAAGAAGGACATGACAGCGCAACTCCTACCCACACCTCCAGCTTCCACACAAAGACTGAGTTTCAAAGGACAAGTAACCATACCAGTAACCAACATGACTTATCAGGGGGCCACGGTGGGTTTCCTCTAATGCACAAACCATCTAGCACCCCTGGGACACCTGTTTCAGAGAGCAGGGAACAAGAACCCAAAGTCAGCAGCCAGCAACCATCACAGGGCGACCCGGACTGCTCTCATCAGCAGCTCGCCACCAGCCAGCACAGAAAGAAGAAATCAAAAAAGCACAAAGACAAGGAGCGAGAAAGGTTAAAAGACAACCAGGGCAGCAAGTGGTTGGAGACGAGTCCAGATCTTAAACACAACCCGGACAAACTTGACAGTAAGGCGTCTGAACTGTTTCTCCTCCGCACTCCATAATAAGTTAACCACACACACTTTGAACAGATGACCAGTGGTGTGTACGGTCTCTCTAAGTGATCGTTCGTCTCCCTGTCCACTGGTGCATTTATACAGTATTATCTCATAAGCACATCTGTGGTTGCTCCCTTAAGCTCACTCTCTTGAGCCCTCAGTGTGTTATGTTGCTGATTGACTCGACAACAGCTCGAGCAGTGCTTTGGGTCCGCAAGCTGAGAAGTCTCCTGATACCCACAAGCTCTCAGTCTGCCCAGTGGCAGGCAGGGACACACACACACACACACACACACACACACACTGTGGCTCCCTAGAAAAACAAAAACACATTGCTTAACATTCAGACAATGACAGAGTGTCCACAGACGACTGTAGTGAACTCTGACATTTTCTTTGTCTGGTGTTTTTATTCCAGATCCTGACATCACAAATGCTGTGGCCTCTGAGGAGAAGCCAGATTATGTGCAGTAAGTGCAGTGATTTTGGGTTTTTTTTTTCCATGTGGTATCACTGCTACAACTTATACATTGACATGTATAGGCTCTTAAATAAATGTGTATGGAGAAAAGTGTGTGTTGTAACAATCATATTTTTAATGGTTTACTCTTCATCCACAAGAAGAATAAGAAAAATCAGTTTTGCCTTTCTGTTTCTTGGTTTTGTTACAAGATAAAAGCCGGACATGTGTAACTGGTTCTACTGGTTTGATTAAGTGATCTGGTGTGTATATATAACTGGTTAATGGTAAATGGGGGTACCAGGGCAGTGGTACCTTGTGGTCTTGTGCTACCATCTTGTGTCTAAAGGAGGTACTGCATGAAGGTAAAATAAAATTCATATTTGATTGAAAAGCTCAACTTAAAATTAATCAACAGTAGTTTTGCATGAAAGAAAGACTGTGACTGCTGAAACCTAATTCAGAGGAAGAAGTTTCTTCTTAAGACAGTGCCACTATAACATTACATGTACACATTACTAACTGTATGAGTGTTTGTCTGTGTGTCTCCTTCTAGCACATATAACACCATAACAAGTTTGGAGCAACGTCAGAGGTACCAGGAGGATTTCTGCGCAGAGTATGATGAGTACAAAGACCTCCACTCCCGGATCGCCACCATAACTCACATGTTTGTCCAGCTAGGATCCAAGATCAAGAGCCTGTCCCCTGGCACACAAGAACACAAGGTACATATACAGCTACATGCCATCTGATTGGTTTTGGACACACACATGGATGTTACTGCAGCTGAATTAATATTTACAGTTTAATGATAATTTTTTTTTATACTGTTTAGATAATGGAAGACCAAATACTAGAAAAATACAACAAGTATCGAAAGGTAAGTCAAACTGTCACTGCCATTTAAATGGTTATAATATTTGTTTTTAACTGGATTTGTTTCCTCTTCTTATATAAATAACATGGGAGTCTTTTCATGCAGTTTCTACAAAACACATAAATGCTGGCATATCAAGAGAGCTAAATTCATAAGATTCCTTGGCTGATTCTGGGGTCAGAACAATCCAGTATATTTATGTTGACTGCTAATAAGACATCATTTTAACAGATAAGGGTTTAATGTTGTTGTTTCCTGCCTTTGCGTCAGTAAAATTCAACAGTAAATTGATAAATGAGTGCATCTTTTTAAATGATATTTATGATTTTGGAGAACACAGAACTGATTGATGCAGGCTTGGTTGAGATTATTGTGTGCACCAGGTAGCCAGACCCTGACATGCTGAGGCTCTGCTGCCAGCTTCAGTGTGTGGCCAGTATTCCCTCTGACCCCATTGGACTTGCACAAAATGGACTTTAAAGAGCCCAGGACTTATTAATGCTGGTTTCATGAAAAGTAACAACAACGTGGGTACTTGTGTCAAACCAGTCAACATGAGGCTATCCACTCATAGGTTTAAGGCAGTCACTAATTTGCATCAGCTGTATAGAATTACTACTACTGCAGACCCGGCTGGCAAAGCATGGCCAAAACCAGTGCCTGTGCTATAAAAGGCTGAAGGTTGTGGGCATATTTTTTATAAAATCAGCTGTGAACTTGTGAACAAACTCTATTTAAAAAGTTTTTGTTAATATTATCAAAAGGTGTTGACCTTCAGGTGAATATTAAGAGTTATTAGATTTAAAAGGGACTATGTAATTGTTCTTCACTTGGCTTCACGGGGCTTATGACCTTTGCATCATCAGTTCAGATATTTTGTTTCAGTAGGTGACATGGCAGAAGACAGCTGTTTATTTACTCGGTAGGAATAAGGGGATGTGAAAAGCTTTTATTAAAATGCTTTCTCCTCTCCCCACAGAAGTTTCCAGGCTACCGGGAAGAGAAGAAACGCTGCGAGTATCTCCATGAGAAACTGTCCTACATTAAACAGCTCATCATAGACTATGACGTGGCTCAGACGACTTCTTAGCATCAGATTTTTTTCTTGCATGGAAGTGCTTTTTTTTTTTTTTGCTTAAACAACATCTGAGTTTTGTTTGGTTTTGAAGGTGTTTTAGATGTTGCACTGATATGAAAAGTCCAAGGCAGAGACAAAGATATTCTTGGGCTTATGAGCTTTTAAAATTAACATGATCTTGGAAAGAATTTGTGCACGTCACAATGCCCTGAAAGACAGTTTTCCTAGTATTTGTAGCAAACCATTTTAAAACCAGCGTCAGTGTGAGCCAAGAAATTGGAAAACACAAAGTAGCAAGTATGATTTTAATTTATTCACTTTGTTTTTGACACCTAAGTCAAACATTGTGCCCAGCAAGTTTCTCTTTTTTTATTAAAAATTTCAATATATAGTGTAAAAAACAGTGTGTATGTTCCAGTTCAAAATCAGAGTTGGCCTCAGTTGTGATGGATCAATGAAGCAGCCCGCTGGCCAAAAAAACAAAAAAACACCAAATGTTAAAGCCATTTCATCTCAGATTCAGTCTTTGCATCTTATTGTGCACACAGAGTGAGATCACTTCACTTGTTCCCAGTGTAGTTTCCCTTAAGGCATTTATCTGGTTTCTCACAACATTTAGCAAGAAATTTACACTTTTTTTTTATTTTTATTTTTTATTTGGTTTTGCATCTCAGTAAGGGAAGTAATCTCACCCTCTGGCAGAAAAGTGTATCTGACTTAATATACATGCAAAGTGATGCATTTAAGGTGAAGATATTTAACAATATAACTAGTGAGGGGGTCCTAACTGTCACCTGGATTAATCTGGTTACCTTGTTTCATGAATGAGGCATGTGGTCTTTATACGTTTCACATTACACCTTTTGAATCCAGTGAGAAAAAAACTGGAAAATATTCCCATTGTTGGGGGTGTAATGTCAAATCTGCTTTGGTACAGAACAAGAGGAATATGCTGTTACCCAAATGCACTTGTGTTTATCTTAAGTATTTATTTACTACACTCCATTCCTTTGAGTGACTTGTAAAGGGACCAAAATGCTTAGCCTTAATTGTCTTGCAATAATTGAGTGTGGAACAACAATTTTCTTCCCCACAACAGTTATTGACACCGTTAATCAAGCCTAGTTTAAAGTATTTTAACCCACCGGAAAGATGTCTTGATCTGTTTCCCTGCTTAGAACTACTGATGTATTTATTTTAAGCCATCTTCCTCTGTCCTGTGTTGTTAGTCTTCTCAGCTTGAAGTGTCAGATCAAAGTGTTTGTATCTAAGCAGCTGGAGGAGTGAGGCATGAGAGGCTGTGAGCAGATGAAAGGTTCACCTTTTCCTCTGTATGATCTAATGCGGTCTTCTAAATTTTAATGGATTGAAATGGCGACAAAGTGGCTGAGGTTGACAGCCACCTCACCCAACACGCTATAAAGAAAACAAGCTAATACAAACTTCTCAGTTAAGGTGCAAAGCGTGATGGTACCTTAGGTATTTGTTCACATTACATTGCAGTGATGAATTCTTTGATTCAACTATAATAAGTTATAGTTCTGTTGGGAATTAAATTGGGGCCTATGTAGTGTTCAGGAAGTGGTTTCAGAGTCGGCCCTAGATAGCTGGTCTTCAGGGAAATAGTTTACAGTAAAACGTTGTATATGGAAAAACATACAGTTGCTACATCATAACCAGTTGTGATACTTGGGTATTTTACAGACTAGCCTGGAGGAATTTATAGTCTTCAACTTCCAGTTAATCGGTGCCTTTTGAGGTGTAGCTGACTAGTGAAATTTCCATTCAGATTGTAATTGTCCATCGTGGTTGCAGTTTTTGTGCTTTGTTATCACAGTCGATGTACAGTACATATAAGCCTTAAAACGAAACTTTTAATGGGCAAAAATCTTCAGACTGCCAAAATCAGCACGATTGTTATCATTATCCACAGTCATCAGTAATCTGCCTTATTACTATGAGCTGTTACATTTACACCTGTATTATCCATTTCACACATTTGAATCTTACTTTCTGGAGGAAATATTTTATAATGTAATTTAAATATTGCTTATTGGCTATGATGGCATAGCTTACTCATCAGTTGCATTTGTAATCCTGTTAGTACTGTTGTTTTTGAATCATAACTAAGGTATATGGTCAGGTGTGTATCTTTAGGAATATATACTGCAGCAAGTCACTGTTCCTGTTGACATCCTGCCCGACTCATCTCTGACTTGACGCAACAGTTTGATAGGAAGTTTGTTTTCAGCGATTCCTGATATTTCACATACAAAAAGAATCCATTCTTAAAATGACAGTTGTCAAGTACTTTCAGGTAACAAGTGGCAAAGCTTTTGAGGGAGGTATAATGGTGTCAAGTGATTGATAAAAGACCGTACTTATCTGTGGATTACTGAGTATGAAAAAAAAACAGTTCTCGAAGACTATTTCTTAAAAAAAAAAATCACTAAAATCGCTAAATATATTTTATTTCTGAGCAAGTCTTCATAACAAAATACATGAAAACATTCATATGTTGTTTTGCTTTTGGACTGGTGTTAAGAATTAACAAGGCACCAGTGTGTCCTACACAGGTGTTTGTATGTGTACATTGCCGATGCTAAGGCCTCATCTTAATCACAAAGGAGTGCAAGTATGCAATATGAACTACATCTTACAAATGTATACGTTTCCTGTTGTGCAAAGTTCAAAAGAATAAAAACATCCATGTGACTTTTGCTTTGAGATTTTGTCTTACAAGTGTTGCTTTTTAAATTTTATATGGGTGTTATCAGCAGCGTTCACTAATCGTCATTCATGTTTTCCTTAATCACAATGTAGTTCAGCCATGTGGACCAAACCTACTGAACTATGACAAAGAGCGACTCGCTGCATAAAGCTCACTAACTTAACTAAATGGTTCCACTTTCAAGTCACCCTCTATAAAAGATCTAAGTTGTAAATAATGTCATCACAGGTTAAAACTTAATAATGCAGAATGCAGCATAGATCTGTTAGAAGGCATTCATAGATTTCTATAGCACATTTTAATTCAAAGTGCTGAACACAATGCAAATTAGATAAAACATTAAATATTACTTAAAAGCAACAATTACATGACAGTACAAGTAACAACAAAGGATGTGTATTCAGGTTTATTATGACTGGGCTGAAGTCAGTCATAATCTTTTGTTGCCTTGTATGTTTCATATGTCATGTTTTAAGTCACAAATGTCAGGACGGGGTGTAGAGATTTTGCTTCAAGTGGATGCTGTAGATATGTTTTTTCCTTTCCCAGATTAATTGTAATAATTGTTTTTTTTTTATATATACCTTTATTTTTCCCTGGTATTAACAGTCAGTCACCAGGAAGAGCTTAAGGTTCAAACAAAACCCCACAGGGACCCTACTGCTACACATCAGTACAGGGACAGAAATGGCTTTGCATAAGAGATCTGAACACAAATTGAATGTGTTGCTGTGCGCTTTCAATTGCAATTGTAATTTTACCTCTAGCAGACACTCCAAATCACATTGAATACTATTTTTGCTATTTATAAACCGAAACGAAGAGCAGTATTAAGAAATAAAGCCCCGCACACATGAGATCTATGGACACTGAATAAATCTGAATAAACAGTATAGATGTACAGCAGAAGTAAAACTGATCTCTTTATATGATGCTCTCAGAGCTGGACTGGTTTACATCTCTTTCTGTTAAAAAGCTGCTTCCTGCTTTGCTGTGATTATCTCTGCACAGCATGAATGCCTCCTGGCTGGTGGCACTCGCCTCTCTTTTCAGCAGCAAATAATTGGCAGCACAAATTAAAGAGCTAGTTATAACAGTATTATTATCCAGGTTCGATGATGTGGCGGCATTGCAGTAATACCTCTGGATCCCCTTTCTGAAGCGAATGGTGAACATGCCATAGATGACTGGGTCCAGGCAGGCGTTGACAAGTCCAAAGATGAACAGGATGTGTGCCAGTGAGTGCGAGACCTTCTCTTCCAGATCATCAGGAAAGAACCAGTACCACAAACCCAGCAGGTAGTATGGAGTCCAGCAGATAACGAAAGACAAGACGATTACAATACTCATCTTTAGAGTTTTCATCCGGACTCTCGGGATGTTATTCTTTGAACACCGCAAATGCACTTCATTTGAGGGCCCTGTGAGCAGAGCACATGACACCAATATAACAAAGTACACATTATAATGCACTTGGCAATCCAGTAGAACCCTGGTTACTGCTAATGTGACACAAAACACTACACAAAGCTTACTCCAAATCTGAAATTATATTAATTCAAAGGTAAAATCATGACCATGCTAGGTCACTAATGTTACCAAAACAAACACATTAGCATTCGATGCTAACACATCCAGAGGGAAAAACATAACATCAGAATCAAATTTGAGTACTTTGGCTGCGTTTACAGGCTAAACCAGTGTTAACCCTGGTTTTTGCCCTTTGTCTGTCCCACACTCTCTGTGTGAACAAACACCACCCAGTGATGGATAAAACAAGGCTTTCTGAAGCAATATGATACAGTATGAAGCAATGGCAGCATGTGCTGGACAAATCCTTGATACTGCATTTGTATAGATGGCGGAAATCTGAGGCCATGAAAAAACAGTTATTGACAATAAGCGGTCTTAATGCTATTATTAAACTGTTAAAAAATCTGGTTTAGTTTATAAAAGCTGAGTTGTCCTCTCCCTTCCCTTACAGCTGGCATCGACGTGGTATCACATCAGACAATACAAAAATTTTAGTTAATGTACCTTTAAGCAAAACAGTCATACTAACAGTGCTTTTAAGCTCAATGCTAACATGCTTACAATGACAATGCTAATATGCAGATGTTTGGCAGGTATTTTCCTTAGTTTTCACTTCATCTTAGTTTGGTGCATTAGCATACCAACATTCACTAATGTGCATTAAACACAAAGTACAGCTAAAGCTAATGAGAATGTCAGCTTCAAGGGTATTAGTCAAAAATCAAGAACAGTATAAATTAAGGACTCCACAATGTTTCTTTTTTCATCTTCTCACCCTCAGAGATGTCTGTACTAAATTTCATGTCAGTTCATCCAATTTTAGTCAAAATTTGGATAGTGGTGCTAGAAAAAGTCAGGTAGTCTGTAAGATCCATCCTCTGTGGACTATGAGTTTCATGGCAATCCATCAGATAGTTGTAGATAGTATTTTGGTGATATATACAAAAGCAGTGGTCTTAAAAACAGGTGGGCGTTGCCATCTTTGGAGTTTTGCCACAATATCTCTTTATTTAAAAATAATATTCCCTGTTACTTTAAATAATCCACAGTGTTAACAGTTCATTTATTTAATAAAACGTTTGCACAGTGTGGTCTGTGAAGTATTCAAAGTAACCAGGACTAGGAAGAGATATTGTTTTTTTAAAGTAGTCTTTTAATGCTGCTGCTCACATCAATACAAGTCCAGCTTCTCTCAATGTGCTTCTACTAATTAAAGGGTCAAAGAAAAAAATTGTTACCTATGTGCTTATCATTTCAGCCTCTATTTAAACTTACAGTTATCCTTTTTCAGGCGTTTGGAGACTTCACAGAAGATCCTGGTGTAACAGGTGATCATGATGACCAGCGGCAGCAGGAACAAGCAAGAAAAAGTGAACATGTTGTAGGTCGTCTCATGCCAGGGAGTGACAAAACTTCCACGAGTTGTACACTGAGTGAAGTCTTCAGGATGGATAATGGTCAAGCTGTGAAAAAGGAATATCTATGCAGGGAAAGGAACAATATTGTGATTTCAAGCATATGAAATAACATCTATTGCTACTCCTATGTGTTTGGTGCCATATCATCATTCTGGTTGACCTGCAAGGGCTGTCGCAGGATGTGGAATGTAATCAACAGTGTGACAGGAGACTTGTTTTTTTTTTTACACCTGTAGTGTTATTTGATCATGCAAACATGTTTGAAGATAACTGGTAATGAGATTTCTGCTATTTCTGTATATGTTTTTCTTTGTTCCTATCCTGTTACTGTAAGTGCTGCCAGCACACAAGAGCTCATCAAATGCAAAACAGCCACACCAGATGCTTTTAACCAAGAGGGGACAAAACCTGCAGGACACTTTTCATGAACCAGAATAAGGCTAAGTTCATTTGGCATCTCACCTGTTTATTATTATGAACACTTGACTTGTGGAGACCCAAACCGACAAAGAATTTATCTTACGAATTGTGTTGCCACAACTTAATATACTGTAACTTATTCCACCATGACCTCAGAATCAAATTTGGGTACTTTGGCTGCGTTTACAGGCTAAATCAGTGTTAACCCTGGTTTTTGCCCTTTGTCTGTCCCACACTCTCTGTGTGAACAAACACGGCCCCTGCTGACCAGTCTGTTAAAAACATAAAAGAGTCATAGACACCGTTGCAATGTGTAATCATAAACACTTTAGAAGCCATTCAATTGGATCCTTCTGGACAAGACACTTTTAATAAAAACCTGTTTAAAGCCTAATCTAGTGAAAATCAATCCTGAACCACGGCCCACATAATTTGCTGGGTTACCTGGTCTTACCTGAGGGACTGACAGCACTGTACTCATGCCCCACGCCACAGTCAGCATGACTCTGTTCCTCTTTCTGGCTTTACTGATAGCCAGAGGGTTGAGGATGGCTGACTGCCTATCCAGACTGATCACCACAGTGACAAATGCGCAGGAGTACATTGCCTGCAGCTTAAGAAACATCAGTAGCCTGCAGGCAAAGTCGCCAGCAAGCCACTGAACTGTGATGTTCCACGCAGCATCCACAGGCATCACAATGAAGGTCACCAGCAGATCAGCCACCGTCAAATTGATTATCAACACCCTGACATGGGATTTACGTTTCCTGCTGTGTGCCGCCCATAGCACAGCCAGGTTGCAAAAGGCAGAGATGCCACAGAGAATGAAGGTAATGATCACTCTGACTTTGGCCGCTGTGGTGAATGTGGGCAGCTGCAGGCCTTCGGCCCCTGCTGACCAGTTGGAAGGGGACAAGGAGAAGTTGCAGCTGGCATTCAGTTGATCTGCTATCAGCTGATGCATGGTCACTGCAGAGTCATACAGAGTGGTGTTCATTTTCTGGCGTTTGAAGAGGAAGAATCATTGCGCTCATCCACCACAAAGAGCAGCACTGGTGACAAAAGTAAAGTAAAAAGAGACATGGACCAGGTACAAGTGAGTCAGGGACCATGAAGTAAGAGACACATGCAGATGGATTTCAACCCAAAGGAACTTTTTCAGTGACAAAATTAATTTGATCCATTTAATAAGAGGTTGATAAAAAAATGTTTGTGACAACTGTACTTCCAGCACCCCTACAGAGCTGTATCATCTGATGTTAGATTGTTTCTATGAATACAATCCACACCATTGACTCTGGTTGCTACTAAAAGAAAATAAAAATCACTTAAGGGCTTTTTTGAAATAATTAATCAATTCTAGGATATCTGGGTATAATGTGTAATTTATATTCCCTCCTGATGTTAAAATCCCTAAAAGAGGAGTCATTATCATAGACAAGGAGGGAAATGTTACACAATCAACATCTTGTAAATAATGTAGTAAGTTATAAAAGTAAAGTGGAGGTCACCCAAGAACAATTTGCCAAACAGGCATGTCCACACGTTGTCTCCCTATCTTCCCTATCTTTTGTTTGTCTTGGGTTGTTTTTGATCCGATGTAAAAAAAAATAATAATAAGCAAAATTAATTAACACGCTTAGAGAAAACTGTACGAGTTCTGTTAAGAACGATTTACAATATCAAGTCTGAGAAGAGTAAAAAGACATGCAATGCTACTTTAACTGATTTGATACAGTCTAATCGATTCAGTAAATTATTTTGATTAAGACAAATAAAGTAATTCCAATGAAGATACGTGGATATTGCGCACAGTTCCCTCTCTATGTCATCTCGAATTACGGGGACATTATAGTCTACGAAGGAAGAACTTACGTATATACAGTGGAGAAGGATGTGGGTTTAGCCCGTCGCGCAGGTGTCGGGGTCTAAGTATTTAAAATCACAGCAGGAGCCAAGTAGGTGTCACCATTCGTTTGTTTTAGGTGGACTGCTCTGACTCTGCTGCGCACTGCGCCCTGTGCGCTCTGCAGACACCCATCCTTTATCCACAAACCACAGAGCCTTGCGAAATGAACTTAAAGGGTGTGGTCTGACCTCATCTCCATATTTGTTAGAAAATAAAGGAAATGAAAAGAAGGACGCGTTGAGAGCTAATGGTCGCCACTAGGCAGAAAAAGTCATCTTTTTCCTGATATATGCCAAATACAAGAAATAAGTTGTAAGCGACCATAACTGGGAAATGTTAATCAGAAAAATCACATCGTCCTTGCTGCGTGAAATCCTCCAGTAAAACCCACATCAGGACACAGTTGAGACTTATGTGCTTGAAAACCAATGATCTCTTTGATCATGTGAATCATGAGAATGTGTGCAAAAAGAAAATTCAAGCTGTCACCTGCAAGAATCTAAAGATTATAGAGACATTTGTCAGTGTGTTTAAATATCTAAACTTATCATTACAAATGGTAGGTACAGTAGGCTATAAACTAACTAACTGACTGACTGACTAAATAAATAAAACTAGATCTATCTACTGGGCTCTGTTTCTTTGTCTCAATGAATGTTGAACTCCTAGGTTGAGGCAAGAAGGTAAGCTCACAGGGGTTAAAGGAGACATGTTTCTCTTCAATCTATTCCAGTCTGAGAAATGTATAAATAGAGGAGGCTAAAAAGTCAGGGCCATGATGGGCTGCAAGAGAAACCATAACAAAGACAGGATACATTTCTGGCTTAGCAAGGGTGATAAATTCTTGCGGTCTTCTGTCCCCTGTTGTTGTCTGTGGAGATTCTCAGTCATCCAGGTTGGATCTGAAGTTCTAAAGTTGCAAGAGGGTGTGCCTCTTGTCCAAGATACTTCTTCAGTTGTGATCGAATGATGGGGATTCCCAGTCAAACAGACATCTTAGTCTGTATTTTATTACACGTTATGTATTTCTACTCCCGTGTGTACAGTTGTATATCTATTAAATGGCATGTACAGTGTTTGATTTACTTATAATTCTTTTTGTATGAACTCTTGTGTGAAACTTTCTTCTACTTGTGTGACATACAGTTGGTCAAGAAAGAAAGAAGTGTCTTCTTTTATCTGCTCATGTCTTATACAAATGTGCAATGTGATGTGAAAATAATTTACAACATGTGAGAACATTTGCTCAATGGAGACGCAACATCCTCTGAATCCTATGCAGTTATACCTGCAGAGTGAAATTCATTCATTCATGCATTCATTCATTTTCTGCCATTTAGTCCCTGAACGGGGTCATGGGGGTGCCGGAGCCAATCCCGGCTGGCAATCAGGCGAAGGCAGGGTACATCCTGGACAGGTCGCCAATCCATCGCAGGGCTAACACATAGACAAACAACCACACACACGCACATGCACTCCTATGGGCAATTTAGAGACACCAATCAACCTAAGCTGCATGTCTTTGGACTGTGGGAGGAAGCCGGAGCACCCGGAGAGAACCCACGCAAGCACGGGGAGAACATGCAAACTCCACACAGAAAGGGTCCCCAGGTGGGGCCCAAACCCGGAACCTTCTCGCTGTGAGGCAACGGCTCTGCATCGTTGCAGAGTGAAATGTTGACTTGAATTTTTGCCTTGAGATGAGGGCCAGTGGACAAATGTTATGCAATTAACATAATCAAAGTATTTTGGTGAATATTACCTGTAGTCGGATTGTTCAAGCACAGTATCTTTTACTGAGGGTGTGTGAGAAAATGTATTCTGTCTTCCAGTGTTATGCTAACTCTGCTTCCAGCCGCCTTAAATGAACCTTTTTTGAACCCTGTTTAATAGCAGCCAAATATGCAGTAAAACAGATCACATTTATATTTTAGATGCATTAAAATACATATTGAAAACCTTGATATTAAAAAACATTTCCATACCACCTACTTCTAACAGACTGCCAAAGCAATACTTGTTTTCCTTCCTTTGTGATGTCCTTGTGTGAGTGTGGCAGAATCTGTTTTGTGTTACTGACATGGATTAATTTCCCTGGTTCCAATTTAGAATAGGTGGTTAGATGATGCGGAACTTACAACCAGGAAGGAAGGGAACGTGCTGACCCAAAACAGGTTGTTATTTGTAAGCCTAGTCTGGAAGCTGTGTCATAACATAACTCAGTACTCTAAACTCACACTCGCTTGTGTTTTTAAAAAATAAAGGAGAGCCACTGATATATTTGTTAATTAAACGTAGATGAAAGAAAATCAAATCAGCAATCAATAAAGTAATGGTAAATGGCCATTTATCAAGAAGAGGTGTGTGATATTATAATGTGATCAAAGAACCCTATACTGCTAACTGTAATGTGACTGCTATACCCTCAACCCTATTATATTCCTGATCAGATGCAACTGGTTTTATATATAATGCTGCCATCATATAATATGATTAGGTCAAGATCAATATGCCAACAAAAACATAGCTTCCTTGTTAACTTTAGTAGACTATTACATTAGCATAGTAGTGGTCCCGATGTAGCATGGTCTGGCAAAAAAGGAGGTCATCCAGTCAAAAGTTGAGCCTGGTTCAACCGTTGCTGCAAAGCAATGCTACATTATCAAATAACAACTGATAGATTAGCTTGGATTGTATACAGTTTCAACCATACAGCTGTTGAGATGGATGAAGATAGACCTTCCAGAGAGTAGCTTCCTTTGTTAGTCTTATATAACACAATGGTCTTATGACAAACGTCAAACTGATTTAATATTTAAACTTCTGAATGTTATTCAAGCTAACTGAACTTCTTGTTCCATATTGAACTTTCTCATTGGTACCTAAAGCAACAGGCTCAACATATAATAACTCAACTGGTGTTCAACTACTCTATTAGCTTATGAGAGGCAGACAAAGCAAATATTTTCACTTGATGAAGGAAACTTTATGACAGCTGTGTCCCATTTCAGCAGCTTCCTTCTTTGTGTTCAGCATTTCTAGACAAAATATGTCATAATGGTAATATGGCCGTTCCATTTCATAAGTGGCCAGATGGGTTTCCTTTTATTCTTCTCTTTTTCAAATTTGGAGTACACAACTCCAGGTGGACACAGAGCTACATAGTGGAGGTCTTTTCTACTTAATATTCAATTAGTTCAATGCCCATACTCAGAGACATTTTTGTGGCTGGTGTGCCTCTTTGTAGTTGTTTTGTGTCTATTTTTTGATAGGCTTGTCTCTTTCTGGCCTTTTTGTCACTTTGTCACCAGTTTACGTTGTCTTTGTGGTTGTTTTGTGTCTCCTTTTAGTTGTTATTGTCTCTCTCTGAACACTTGTGTTTCATTTTGTGGTTTTGTCTGTGGTCAATTTGCATCTCACTGTTGAACAGTACATGTTCAACACGTACTGTAACATGTACTGTACATTTACTATAACATTTTGATCTCTAGACTGGATATGTATTGCAGATATCTGTAACTCAGTTTTTCCTGGTCCAAAAAAATATCGCAGATATCACACTGAGATTCTTCCTGTCCACAATTATCATTTCACATTTCAGACAATGGAAAAATAATTCCAGATATCCATAAAGTAATTTTGAATATCAAAAATACATCGTGACTAGTAAAAACTTTAATATGGATATCCATAATTCATATTCAGACTAGAAAAAAATCAGAAAATGTAAATGTGGATATCCACAATTGGAATATGGACTAGTAAAAATTCAATTTCAGGTATCTACAATTAGAAATATGAGTGTGATTGCAGAGACCTCCAGAACTAGGTCAAGGCTTTATAGAAGGAAAATTACAGACTGCGTAACATGTTAGTTAAAGGTAGGTATCTATTTTAGATTCAATAGTAATGAGTACGTCTTCATTTTAGATGAAATCCATAAATGTGTAAATGGTGCAGGACTGTCCCTTACAATGTGAAAACCTGTGAGATTTCATCTGGTTTATGAGATTAAGAAATAGTGCACAAAGCTAAGGCACGTCTTCCTATTACTCGGTATATGTCCAAAATGTTTGCCGCCTGTATTTTGTAGCACATTATTTGATTAATTACATTTTATTTTATTCAAATTATTTTCCAGAGATTCCATCTTTGTTAGTGGACATGAGAAAGGTTGTCACCAAGAATAATCCCACCAAAGATTTTGGCGTTAGTGAAGTTGAAAGTGTGGGGGAAGAAGCTGTGACACCTTGCAGGCCTACAGAAGTAAGCATTTATGTATATTTTCAGTTAAAATTAAGTAGCATTGTGTTGCTTATGTTCTTCCACTATTTGTAATTTCCTATTATTTGCTAAGCCAGCTCATGATTTAATGTAGGTATTATGGATATTGCTATAATTCCTCCTGTCTTTTATTACAAATTATGTATTATTGTTCTGTTCCACAGATGCTGTTGTAAACCACCATCCATGACCAAGATATCAGATGTAAGAAAAACAATCAACACAAGAATTTGTGAGTTGAGGCACCAAGTAAAACAAAAAACAGGATGGGCTGTTAAATGAGATAATGGACTGGATATTTGGACCCTTTGTATCATTTTCCCCTTGTTCTGGACCTTGTTTAGATGATTGGCTTGTTTAAAGTTTACTTGTTCTCTCAAAATAATTAGTTTGACATGGTGGTTTTGAAGTGCTGTATGGAAAATGGGTTTATATCAATAAAGTGTTCTTGATTGCTTACCCATGAGTGTGTACCTTTTTTACATAATAAAGTATATTTTTGCACACAATATGTGTATACATGCAAACACACCACACATGCAATATATATATGTATATATTTACAAATATATTGTTATATATCGCAACATGTATTTCTTCATATTACATATATTGCCTACATGTTCTAATATAAATGTAAATATATATATATACATATATTCCAACCATAATTTGTTACTCAAATTTCCATATATTATGAAGTGTATTATGGAATATATAATTACATACATCACAATATATAAATAAACATATATTTCACCTTTTTCAATATATGAAAAGCGGCAATGCCTAATGCATTATTCAATATATTGCAATATATTAATGCATGATATTATTCAGCATATTTTGCAATATATTTTAGACACACAAAAAAACCTGACATATATTCACAAATAATATATTTGGAAATATATTTTCTTTCCGTGAGGTTGCCCACAACCCCCAAATGTATTATGGCTATCTGCCTGGATCAATTTTTCATTTGAATATCTGAAATAAAAATTATGACTAGTAGGCTAACAAGCGGATTTTAGATATCTGACATGACAGTTTTTCCAAGTAAGAGTACACATGAATAGCAAAAGCAACTTCATTTGTCCTAGGAAGAATGACGTTTTGTGGATATACACTAGGCACTGTTCTTTTTGACTAGGAAAACTATTGGAAACACACGTCCAGGAGTGACTAAATGTTAAAACAGTTAATTTAATTTTTCAGGAGTATTAGATTTCTTAAGTGTGGGTTTGCCTAGCAAAATTAAAGTTGTATGCCTAGATATCTTAATAAGAATATTATTGTGAATATCTTATTACAATTCTGATCAGTGGTAATGCCGTTTTATAGGAGAAACGCTGTTATGGGTATCTAAGATGAAACGTTAATTACAGATAGGTGTGTGGTTTGATTAAAGGTTAAATTGGCTTGGCATACATGTGCGGCTCGGCTCTGTTGTTGACACGCTGCGAAGTGAAACAGGAACCGGGCTGTCACGAGCCAATACAGGAAGTACAAACCAGCGGTAGCGAGCGAAACGATGACGATACGAGTAACTTAGCTAATAAAAGTGTATCTGTGCCATATAGAAGCCAGTTGACGTCGATGTGACAAGCCTTGAATGTTACCAACATGGAAAGAGCTGTCAGAATTATTATTTTGCCCGTCATTTTCATAGTATCGCAGGTAAGTTTAAGGACGCCAGTAGCTGAAACTGAACTGGCTGTGCGTTAGCAGTTGACGGGCCTGATAAGCCAGTTTTACCGTCGTAATGCATGTTAGCTGTCTATTGTTCATTGTTTAAATGTATGTTGTCAAATTGTAGTGTTATACTAGAAGGAACGTGTTGTCCAACAAAACGACTGCCTGCTATCAGTGGGTTAGCTCTGACGTTAGCCTCAGCTACCGGCTGTCCAAGCTAGGAAAACTTGAGGTTACCTATCCACATAAACGCTTTTCTTTGATAACACGAGTGAGGTGTCTGACTATAAACTACAGAGTTTAATAACGTTATCTGCTGTATCAGTTGATGGTGTGAATGTGGATAAAGTTTGCCCAAATTACCCGGCAAACTTTCCCAAAACCAAAATTAAATCGCATACCACTGCTGTTAAAATCGAATTTAGCTGAGCTGTAACTTTTAGTTTTAGCGGAGCGTGATTCCCCTGACGTCCTCCGCCACGACGCTAACAAGGAAGTGGTTGTTTTCTTAAAAGAATTCAGAAAGTTAGCGATTTATTGATCACAGAGGCATGTTTGTGATCAGTGTAGCCACCAGTTGTTTAGTTTGTCAGTGTTTACACTAAGTGTTTAGTTTGCTAGTTAGCACGTGGAATTAACGCTACCGCAAAATAAAAAAAACAGATAAAGTGAACCTAGCATCCATGCTGACCTTTTTCGCACACCATTATGCATATTTGTTGATTTTGAAGTGGAATGACATTTAATTTGTGTTGAATCTAACTACACATCTAAAAATAATCCTTAAAAAAATGCCAGTGATTTACATAAATGTGTGACCTAGAAGTGTGAAAAATGAAAGTTTCAACTAGACCCCTTAAAATGTGAGTGTCATGTTTTTTGTGACCTCATTGTGTACATGGTTATCAACAGAGGTTTTTGCAATCCATGGTTTAATTTAAATGATTTTGAGACGTACAAAGCATCACATGCATGCCTGCTGAGATACAGAATATGGTCGCTCTGTTGCTTTATGTTCACTCATTTAAGCATTAAGGTTATCCGATTCATTATTTTAATCTGATTAAATTTTGTTGAGTTCAGATATTTTCTTCACCACTTTGAAGTTAGTGTGAGACCTTAGAGAATAACATTTTCTTCCTCCAACAGATAAATTGCCAAGAAGCGATTTTACACATTTCAGGTGGAAGTACAGATAGGGAGTACTGCATTGTCTACAATCGATCCTGGACTCCCCTGCCGGAAAGTAACTGACTTTTACTGACAAATTGTTCCATTTTGTTTCTATTGCTTATATTTCGTGGTAACCAGAAATATCGGGGTGCTTTGTTTTATTTAATATTAAACGCCCATAATGACATGTTTTTCAAATACATTAACAATACAAAAACAGCATCGACTGTAAGTCTTATGTTTCCCAAAGGGTGAACGGCAGGAAATGTTCCTGCTATCATAATTGTTGAATCACTTGTCTTTGCTTCACCAGGTTTTTTATCCACTGAAGAATATGACCTCCACTATGCTGTGTAATGGCTCAGGGGTCAGTCCAGCTCTAGTAAAGGGCAAAGTGTTGGTGGTGATGAGGGGGGACTGTACTTACAGCCAGAAAGCTCTGGTTGCCGAGAGCCTTGGAGCTACAGCTTTACTCATTGCCAGCAACACATCAATGGTAGGACATTTACATCCTTCTGTATTGTATTGGTGGATTAGGGACAAAGGGATGTGATATTTGTGTGTGTGTGTGTGTGTGTGTGCGTGCGTGTGTCTGTCAAATTGATAACGTACTCTTACGGAGGACTAATTATCTTTTTGTTTTTGTCTGTAACAGTTGATAATAATAATACTAGTGTCAGGATATACCAGTGTAACATGTAAGATACACACAGAAGTGATTCAGAAATAAGGAAGTGAAGGAAGACCAGGGTGCAGATGGGGGTTTCTGTGTAAAGACAAATACTAAAGTTTTTGTTGTTGTCATGATTGGTGTGTTGTGATATTAATGTATTTGATTAACAATATACCATCAAAAAAGGCAGAAATTTCAAAGGCTACTTAAGAACTTCCCTCATGTCTAACCAGCTTGTATTTATAAAATGTATTCTGTGCTACTCTTCTATTTTCAGTTCACGCCAACAATCAATGACTCATATGCAAAGATACATATTCCTCTGGCTCTCATGAGGTACAGGGACTTTCTGGAAGCACAGCAGGTCAGACAATCTTTACTTTCTCTGGTGCCATTTGGTTTTTCTACCACTCTTTTTTTTTTTTTTTATCAAAGTTAATTTGGTAAAGAAAATGAAATTGGATGCAAAGTTGTTCTTTAAATGTCCAGTCTTTTTGTATGTCCTCAGGTGTTTGGTGAAGGGATGCAGGTAAAGCTGTATGCTCCACCTCAGTCAAAGATAGATGCAAGCATTGCAGTCATCCTACTGATCGCCATTGGCACTGTCGCCTTGGGTGGCTACTGGAGTGGGGCATGTGAGAGGTGAGATATTGCAGTTGCATGTACAGAGCTGTAGGCTAAACCTTGGACCTGTACATTATGACATGTTAAAAATAAAGCACAGTTGTTTAGACTCGTTTTTGTTAGTATGCAGTGACACGGTCAGTGATTTAACAGATAATATCCAGGTTGAATTGTTGAACATAGATGGCATTAACGCTGCCAATCATAAATAAATACTTTGCTAAAATCATATGCAATCAGTGTTAAATAATTTTGTTTCCTAGTTCATGGAGCTGTAGTCTTCTTTTTACTGTTGTCATTATTATCGTCATTTAATGGATGGATATTCTCTTTATATTTTGTAAACTTGTGTGTTCTCATGTGTGTCTGGTATTGTCTTAGTACACATATTGTATTTTTTAAGTGAGGTGAATCTGAAGACAAACTTACACTATGTGGAAGTTTGTCTTCAGACAAACTTCAGGCAATTCTTAACCTTCCTACTGCAGTGATGTTGTAACGGATTGTACTGAAGTGTATGTTCCAGCCATCAGTGTGTCATTATTGTGGATGATGTCTGGTCATGTTTCTCTTTTTAGAAACCACCATATTCAAGTACAATAGGTACCACTTCAGATGTTTTTCTGTTTGTGGCAGGGACCGGTTGGATAGTGGTGCAGCAGGGGAAGGAAGGGGAGAAAGCAAAGCAGACAGTGGAGAGATTTCCCTGTACTCTCCCCTCAAAGTGGTTATCTTTGTCCTCCTGATGTGTGGGATGCTGGTCCTCATGTACTTCTTCTTCAAAGTCCTTGGTGAGCAGGACAAAAATCAAAGTGTGTATTTAGCAAAGAAACATTATCCGGTATTTGTTTATGTGATTTGGTTTTCTTTTTCCTTCCAGTTTACATCATTATTGCTATATTCTGCCTGGCATCTGCCTCTGCACTGTTCAGTTGTATTGATGCGATTATGGATCAAATTGGTTGTGGCACTTTGAGGTAGGAGCATCACTGTTTCAACAAAGACTATATCTAGACACATTTATATGTTCAACTAGTGTTGTGCAAATATATGTATAGTTAGATAATGATAAAAGGGCTACAGATTATCTTATCACTTTACAGAAATTAATAGTAAAATTCAGAGTGGCTGATGTGTCAAATACTACACCATGAACAGCTCAGCATAATTGAATATGTGTAAATATTACTTTTACTGATTTCTCTATAATTACAGTAACCTTTAAACTGAGTTGTGTCGGATGTTGTCTGCTAAGTGTGTTACCCTGGCAAACTAGCCTCCGCTGCTTTTCTTTATTTGAGTGTGTGGCTGTATCTTTTTCTAGCTTCTCTATCAGAAATTGGAACTTCTCTGTGAGGTCTCTCATCCTGGCTGCTGTGTGCATTAGCATTGCTGTCGTCTGGGGAGTGTACAGAAACGAAGACAGGTACTGTCAGGACATACACAAATGCAGTCTCTGTGCCAATTTCATTCAAATGTTTTCTAAATAATCTATAGATCTGACCGTTTAAATCCTCACCTGGGTTGAATTAGGTGAAGTCTATATATGGACCGTTGTAGTCATATGTTGACTATTGTCTGATAAAGATGTGAAGTCAAAATATTGCTTAATAAATGACCTTTTTGGGAGCATTTATTCACTGGGCTCTAGAGCCAATCCTAGCTGACATTGGGTGTGAGGCGGGGTCCACCCTGGACAGGTCGCCAGTCTATCACAGGGCTGACACATAGAAACAGACCACACACACACTCACTTTTAGGGGCAATTTAGAGCTGCCAGTCAACCTAAGCTGCATGTCTTTGGACTGTGGGAGGAAGCCAGAGCACCCGGAGAGAACCCACACAGGCACAGGGAGAACGTGCAAACGCCACACAAAAAGGCTTGAACCCTGAACCTTGCTACGAGGCGCCATGCTGCCTGAAAAACAGTTTATTGCAGTTGTGCAGATACCGTTATACAGATAGTTTGTGAATCTGAGGGTCAGATTGATTAGAAGCCTCAGTTGACATGTAAAACTTTAAACTTCTCTAAAGATACAGATGAATTATTGCTTGATGTCAAGATTATTTGCTAGATCTTCATTGGCAGGTGTTATTACTAATGGTATTCAACTCAATGCACCCTCTTACTGTGCTATACAGTAAGTCGAGTTAACTGCTCTAGTTGAGTTGAAACGCTAATAATAAACACAAGGTAAAATAACTTGTGTCCTTTTAGATGGATCTGGATCTTGCAGGATCTCCTCGGCATCGCTTTCTGTCTCAACTTCATCAAGACCATTTCACTGTCCAATTTCAAGGTACCTCATCTTTCATCATATAGTATAGTTTTCTTTTGTACTTTATTTGGCATAAGAAGTTCTCATACTGTAATTGTTATACTTTTTAAAGACATACATTTTTATATTTGTTGTACTCTGCCATTAGTATGTCGCATGCTGTAGATCTTTGCATCAGAAAGACAGACATCTGTACATTTAAACTGACAGTAATGTAACTTAGAATAGTGAGTTATTAAAATGCATCATTTTTGTGCTAAAGCTGTGATGTTTTTTTTCCCCCTATTATCTCAGATCTGTGTGATTCTGCTGAGCCTCCTGCTTGTGTATGATGTCTTCTTTGTTTTTATCACCCCTTTCTTCACCAAGGTATATTTATTTTTGACTTTCTAATGCTTTTCACATAGTTAGTGATGCCGCTGGTTTCAAAGGGGCGTTTTTTTTTTCTGCTATTAATTTGAGTAAAGAAGTGATGATTTGTCAAGAGAAGCATACGCAAATCTAATGTCACTGAAGAGAAGATGGTTTTTGTAGCTCTGGTGTTGGTGTGTGATGTGTGGTGGTTTTATATAACTAGATGAATGACATTCTTTCCCTGTCAACAGAATGGAGTTAGCATTATGGTGCAGGTTGCCCTCGGCCCTGATGCATCTGCTGAGAAGGTAAGTTCCACTGCATTGCTTTCTGCCTTTAAAGGGAACGCCACCAAAATGTGTTTAAGGCATTTGCCAAAATATCCAGTTGCACATTCATTCTTTCCACCTTTTTTAAACACATTTTAAGATTTGGGATGTTGGATGGCCTGTCTTTTTATATTAGTTTTAATATCTAGCAAGATGGTTTTATGTTTGAGGAACATCACTGTTTTTCTTTATATCATCTCAGGAAACAACAGTAGTTTCATACTACAGTATCTCTGGATAGTTTTTAATGCTTATAGCTCAAACATTGAATTATGGGAGTTGTTTACTCAGAAGACTGTGTACTGATACATCACTCTGTGAATGAACAAACTGGTGGAGAACATTTGTGTTCAACAAGAGCAGTATGTGGGAACGACAAGGTAAAAGCTAAACTTGTCAAACTTGTCTCTGTCAAGTTTGTACTGGCTTTATTAACATCCTGACTGATCTGTACTGCTTGTTGTTGATGCCTGGAGGGGAATGATGGACTGACTAACTGTGCTCTGTCTTAGGCACAAGGTAACATGGTGGAGGTCCCCGCTGAACCCCAGGCTCCCTCTGAGAAAGTAAGGCTTGACTTGTTAACCCATCCACTCCTTATTCTTTTAATGCTACATGGTGAGGTGGGCAGGGAGGGCTGGGGGTTGTAGATGTTTTCACGTAATTGGTCATGAGCAGAAACGGCACTTTTACAAAGGTTTCCCAGCATAGATAAGTATGTGTTTAAAAATATGTGGAGAGTTTGAATTGGCTTTTCTTTTTATATGTGCAATATTTTATAGACATGGACTACCCTGCCCAGGCGCAAATGGGAGACTGAAAACACCAATCAAATATCTTACTACAGTGATCATTTAAAATGTTTTCTTTGAACTGAGATAAATATAATATAATATACAGGACAAGCTGTGTGTGCCTAGTTTTCTTGTTGCTTCTTCATATGTATGTATGTTGTTTGTTACATTTTTCTTTATAGGTTCCTAATGAACACAAGGCACTTGGGGGATCTAGATGTGCTTTCCCTGCAAAAGGACAAAAACACATGTAGACTCTCACTGGGTGTTGATCAGTCATCTGACTTTGCATGTTGAACACAGCAGTTCTTTTCAAGCTGAATTAGTTTACGGGCAGCGTTTTAATGTTATCACATCACTGTAATAAAGTGTAGTACCTTTTTGTCTGCATGGCATTTCTCTGAGATGCTACTCACTAGGAATGAATACCTGTGTACTTGCAACAAATTTTTTTTTTTTTTTTTTTAGCTAATTATTGTATGAAAATCTGCTTGGTATGCTTGTGAGCATTTGTGGAAACAGCAGTCTGTCAATATACAAGATGTAACTTTTGCAAATCATTTCAAACAAAAAGAATAGTTTTGTGTTTGGCAATAGCTGTCCTACTGTGATAATGGCAAAACAAGAGCTATTTGTACATCAGCTTCGTCCTTTGCTGTAAACATAGATCACACAGATTGCGTCACACTAGGGAAGGCAAGTTAATTAGTAGTTGAGAAGTCAATCAGATTGGAGTCACCAAATACAGCAAGAGAGTAGGAAGTACTGTACACCAAGACATCCAAATATGTGTCCTCCAGTTTGTCACAGCTTTGGGAAGTTCACATAAAGTAGACAGATTGACAGACTCAGTTAGTGTAACACAAAATACGTAACAGTTCTCCTGTCACACTTTGTCATTTTTAAACATCAATGTTTTCTTCCTTCAGCTGCCAGTGGTGATGCGTGTCCCACGGTTCTCAGCTTGGGCTCAGAACCTATGTGGGATGCAGTTCTCCATTCTGGGTTATGGAGATATCATTGTTCCAGGTGAGGGCATAGCGTTACCATCAGTGGTTCCCTAAACTGATGGTGTTTTTTATTTATTTATTTATTTTTAACTTTTCTTTTACCAGAAGAATCTAATTGAGTTGAAAAATCTCTTTTACAGTGTCCTGGTCGAGATAAAGTTTGCCTGGTAATATCTTGAACACAGGCAACGGTTTCTGGCCAGTTTAGCTACAGTATATCACTCGTAGTGGTTAAAAGATACATATTTGAGAAGCATCTGTCTCTTGCCTCTGAAGAGCTGTTAGTCAGAACGGAGAAACTTTTTTGCTAATGTTACATGAATGTACAATACAGTGGCTATCCTCTTTTTATTTCACAAACTCTGCTGATACACTATCAGACTCTTAACACCATTCCAGATGTTTTAACCATTCCACTGAAATCAGAAGTGTCATTAAGTCTACATACTCCTCAAATGAAATAACATATTTGTTGCTTTCTTTTTGTTTTAAAAGTCTTAAACCAGCTATGTTAGAAATGCAACTGGCAGCACTGTGTCTGAGCTGAGACATACTAAATGAATGCAAACATTCGTGGTCTGATGTGAGACTCACCCTCTGCGTTCTCACTGACCCAACAGGTCTCTTGGTGGCCTACTGCAGCAGGTTTGATGTTTTGATCAACAGCAGAAAGAAGATCTACTTCATCAGCTGCTGCATAGGTATATCACAGCTCAACTACTGTTTTGCATTCATATTGTACATTATATCTTTACATTCCCACAAGTCAACATATCTTGTTTAGAGTAATTTGACTTGCATCTTTGGAAATAGGGATAAAAAAATAGTTTGTTCAAAGCTGAAGATGCATCTTATCCAGTTAACTGATGTTTTAGTCCTAATAAGTACAGATATCATACTATTACTGCTACCGCAAAAAGAAATGTAGTATGCAATTTTGGTTTTCATATTTTAGAACGCTGTATATTATATGTTGCACAAATACATTGTCAGTGTTGTTTGGTTTTTGCTTCTTTGCTGTACACACACTTGGGACTGAACTTCATACAGTTTTAGACTTAGCTGAATAACACTGACCGGCCACTTTATTAGGTACACCTGTATGCAATTCAATGCAACACCTTCACCTTAACATCTCTGTTTATGAAGCTCAAAATGTTAGTTTTTTTGTAAAATTGTCAAATGTATAACTTCTTGCACTTGCCCTTTGTGACACTGTTGAGGTAAATGCTGACGTTCTTCTGTGTGACCACCAGGTGTCTCCCAAACTAAGTAGTTTTTACTGCTTGTTTCTGTATGTGGTACAAGATTCACAGTAAGCTGACCTAGTCTTTCTCTCAGTATTTGTTCAACTCTCTTTTCCCCTGTAGCCTATCTGCTGGGCATGATTGTGACATTTGCTGTGATGCTGCTGTCAGGGATGGGTCAGCCTGCTCTGCTGTACCTGGTGCCTTTCACCCTGATAACCTCTGCTGTGGTGGCTGCGTGTCGGCGAGAGATGAGACGGTTCTGGGCAGGAACCACCTATGAGGTAAAGTGTTTGGTTTTTTTTTTTTTTTGTTTGTCACAGTAGTGGTACTTGATAGCTGTGATGATACTTCCTTGGTCTTCTTAAACAGGTTCCATTCCCAATGAACTTAATTCCTGTTTTATCTGTGACATACTTTTTTGTGAGTTTTTTTTTTTTTTTTTTTTGTTTGTCACAGTAGTGGTACTTGATAGCTGTGATGATACTTCCTTGGTCTTCTTAAACAGGTTCCATTCCCAATGAACTTAATTCCTGTTTTATCTGTGACATACTTTTTTGTGAGTCATTTGTGAAGCCAAACACTAATCTGATATACACAACAAAGCTTGTTGCCAAGGCATCTGGGGTATAATGCAAATATTTGCTAATTTGAACAAGGCGTACATGCTTTAGTGCCAGGCTGCCAGTGCATAACTGTCGAGCATAACCAGCCATCTCCTGGCCAGCCCTGTGAGGTTTGCTGCATCTTCCTTTGTCTCTACAAAGTAACTGCAATCTTTTTGCTTTCAGACTTCCTACAGAGTAAAAACAACTTCACACCATGAAAAACTTGGTGTGAAGTTGTTTTTACAAAATAGTAAAAACTTCCCCTCTTGCAATAGCAGTTGCTTAGCTTGTCATTTCCAGTTTGTCTTGTTATGAAAATAAACAGAGAGAAAACAGGTCAAACTGGATACCCTGAGGCTCTTGCAAAAAATAGTGGCAGCTTCAAGGGAAGTTATTCCAGGCTTTCCTGTTCCTTTACTGTGTTTGTCCCTGTGGTAAATTATATGAACAGTGTGACTGTGAACATTTTTATTTATGAAAGCTTCAAGTGTTAGTGCTGCTGTGCTTTGCACTCGGCATATGTCAGAGATGTCTAATATTTTGAGGCATCTTAAGGAAAATTAATATCTTGGTCAATAGAATCAGCTGTCATAATGTGACATAATGGTTTTATTACTGGTCCTGGAGTTCTCTTTCAAACTCCCTTGGAATCTAGCCTTCATTTTATAGTTCACAGCAGCTAGAGATATTGAGTAAACATTACACATCACCGTGCTGTCATTGTACTTGAAAACGTCCTGTGAGTTGAAATATATCTATCAATCAGCTCTATTCCTGCGTATTGTACTTTCTTTGGAGAAATCGGTGTACAGCACTGGAAGCACATACTGTGGATTCAGAAAGTAATAACAAGCAGAATGAGTACCATATGGCTTTAGTTTGTGAACAGGGAACTAGATGTTGACAGTGGGGAGAGTGTAGATGTATTAAAGTTTGTTCTGCTTGTTCAGGTGTTTGATACAGTAAATTGTTTGTACTTTCTCCGTTACTGATTTTGTTCCACTTATTGTCATTGTCTCAGTAAAATACAACCGTGTGTCTACTCTGTTATTTGTGTGTCCATGAGTGCCCCTCCCTTTCCGTCTGAGATGTAGAGCAGAGAAGCAGAGCTGGCAGTCGGTTTTTTGTCATTGTCACTTATCTTAAAATATCCTCTACAATTCTTTCTCCTCCACCAAACTACCTGGTCAGCCAGTGTGAGGTTAACATAATGTTGCCACTAAATACTATAGGTGTGTAGTGTTGAACAACTTTTATAAGTACAAGTACTAGAGGGTGATATCTGACCTGATACTTGTCGGTACAGCTGTACATTTTTTGGATAAGTCTCTGTAAGCATTGTAGACAAACCTGGGTTTGGCAGTTGCCCATTTTTCCTAGGTTCATCAGGTTCACACCACAGATGTTCTGTGGGGTTTAAGTCTGGGTGGGCCACTCGGAGACCGGTGCTGAAGCCATTCCAGTGTTGTTTTGGCTGTTTGCTTCAGGTCATTTGCCCTGCTGAAGGGTGAACTGCCACTGCAGTCTCAGGTCTTGTACATTTTGTAGCAGGATTTCTTCAAGGACCTCTGTGTATTTGGCTGCATTTATCTGTCTCTCAGTTCTAACCAGCCTCCCTCTCTGCTGCTGAGAAGCCCCCCATAACATGATGCTGCCACTTTTATGCTTCACTGTAGGGATGGTATTGACCAGGTGATGAGCAGTGCCTGGCGTTCTCCAGATAAAGTGCTTGGCATTTTGCCTAAAAAAAAAAAATGTATATAAGTTTTTCTCTCATCAAATCAGAGAATCTTTTTCCACATGCCCTGAGCCCTTTTTAAATGCTTTTTGACAAACAGCCTCTAGCCACTCTGCCATAGGCAGCGACATCTTCACTGCTTTGCCTGTGGGCCACTTGCTAAAAGCCACGCTTTACTTCTAAACCATTAAGAGTGCCCGTTTACACACTGTGCTTGTAACGCTAATAGTTGAGACATGAAAAGGCTGATACTTAACCAGTCGCGAGCTACACCCTGCAAGCACCTATCTTGTCTACCTTCAAGTACTGGCACTTCATTTTAGTACTACCTCCTGAGGGTGCCAAAATTTAGGCTAGTTCCTAGAACAGGCCTCCAAAGTGGGAGGAGGGCAAAACATCTTCGTTTTCAAAATTGAGTCCACTGTGCTCCTGGGAACACTCAAAGATTTAGAAATGTTTTTATACCATTGCTTTGATCTGTGCCTCACCACAAGTTTTTCGTGAAGACCGTTCTTGGACTTTGGTTCCCATGACACGTATGTGCTTGATTTGACACCATATATTGACACCATATATTAGTTAAATGGTGTCTGTAGTAGTTGTATTTCTCTTAAAGTTACAGTAGGTGAAATATATATTGTGGTACCTGATGCACAACACATGATATGCAGCGCTGGCCCTGGGTTTACATACCCAACTGGCATGAACCGAATCAAATTCTGTCTGGAAGTTAGGAAACCGACCCGATATTCATAGTATGGAAAATTGTCATCATTAATGTAGAGATGCACACAGTTTGTAGTCAACCAAAAAAACCTTTATGGTCATAGCATTTGTCACATTTCTAGATGAACTCAGAACATACAAATTCTTAGAGAAAATTGCATGAACATGTGTGTGAGAGTGAGCAGGAAAAACACAATTCTGACCTGGCTTCATCTTCACCAGGTTGTGGACTCATCCAGGGAACCTCTGTTGCCAGGTGTGCTTCCCTCCAACCAAACCTCTCCCCTGCATCTACCCTGACACTTTACAGTGTTGCATCCTGCAGTGCCTCATCTTCTCCTAGCAGCTTTTTCTTGATCTCCTTTTTCTTTTGACATTTTAACTCCTGTTGTCCAGGGTCAGTGAGATTAAATACAAAGTACTTGGAGGATTTAAGGTTGGACAGTACAGTACTAGCTAGTTGAAAATAATCTGATATGTCTGAAGAGCCCCTTAGCCACACTCCAAGGTGAACTTGTGTTAAAGCTGTGGCCCTGGAATACCATTCCCCCATTTCTTTATTTTTGCAGTTAGCTTTATTAGCAGTTTGTTTGTCATTCTGTTTCTCTGCTCATTCGTCATTTCCAGTCAACAGGGATTACTACTCTTACCACTGCATCCTTCATGCAGTTACCAACATGTTCATGCTGCCCTCTGCATGTTGTTGCTTGTTGTTAACCTGGGAGACCTGCGGCATGGACTGTGGGATATGTTCTCTCTGTGGTTTGGCATCTGTAGAATGTACTGCTCGTCTTCTGTTGTATATGCAGTGTGCTTTACAAATCAAAATCATCTTTGTCTGTCACTGGTCATCAGTGATGAAAACATTCAATTGAAGATTTATCAACAGTTTCTTTCCCTTTCTCATTAGAGAGAAGAACTGAGGGCTCCATAGCAGAAAGGTGCTGACTTAGTGTTGAGCACGGACCCAACAGCTGGATCTTTTTTAAATTAGTTTTAATTACATATACAAAGCAACAGAACATGTTATTGATAAAGAGATTCTTAAAACATGACTGCTGTTTTATGTTTCTTGTTCAGTGCCTGTTCAGAAATCTGTAATGAGTTTGCCTTGGTGATAATTGCATATAACAAGATGAGAAAGCACTTTATATTTGGCTTGAGAGTAGTTTCATCAGCGGTAGGTGGTTGTAGGTGGGGTGGGGGGGTTGGGTTTTTAAATTACTTGTAGATCCATTATGATACATTTTGATAACTACTTTGGGCTTTTTGTGCAACTTGTTTGTATGATGTGATTTCTTTCATTGCCTTATATTAAATGAATAACCTGTATAATGTGTTTGCATTTGTTGTTTGCCTGTTGAAACATCAGATACTTCAGTGAACAGATGGTCATTTTCTTTTAGAATCTGGCAACACCAATGAGGTGCACGTATGTTATAGTACTGCTGTGCAGAAGCAACTGGGTTTGTACACCTCGCAAACTCTCACTTGAGACTTTTTTTACTAACAATATAAAGTCTTATGTGATGGTGTAAGGATTTCCTTGAATGGTCATAATCTCCAGGCAGTTGTGCGTCAGTCTGGAGTTGCACAACTATGAAAAAGCGACCTTCTGCTGGAGCTGCAGCCAAAGCGGATCTCACCACACCTGTCTTCACTTATCTGATTAGCTTCCTTGCCCTTCTGGTCCCTTTGTTTCATTGCCAGATTGTCTTTTGTGTTGTGTAGCTGTTATGCTTACCAGCATTCTTGCCACCTGCCTACCTCTCCACCAGTTTCTCTGTGTTCAGACTGACTGCTTCTATTTTTTTTTTTTTTTTTGGACCACCTGTACTTGGACTCTGCCTGTCTGCTCCCTTGGACTAATACTGGATTACCTGTGTGGTTTCAACTTGTATTTCATCTCATGTTTTCTGCCTGCCTGTTTTGTCTGCCTCAGTTGGTTTTAGCTTTGTTAAACTGTACCTGTACCTGTCTGTCTGCCTGTGTGCACACTGGGGTCCTCTGTCTGCCTGCCTTGTTTGTGTCAGGACAATTTTATTCTGAACGCAGGCCCCATAATACAATACTTATTCTTTTCAGACTTGTTGCCAAAGCTTTTTACAATTGATTTAAAATGATAATGTTTACAGTAAATGGCCTTAAGTTTGTCACTTCCCCAGAAAAATAAGCTGTTGAGCTAATAAGAGATAAGTGACTATAAGATACACTAGATTGTAATTTGCTCATACAATAGATGACAAACGGCAATAGTACCCTGTTAAAAAAGACACTTTAAATATAATAAAATTACATTTTATAAAAGCTGCATTGCAATCTTCCTATATTTTACAAGATTTGAAATTCATATTATATCTTTATTAGCCAATACAAAAACTGCTGATCATCTTTTATTAGGGGTGTAAATTACCACAGTCCTCATGATACGATCCTACATCAATAGTCTTTGCCAATATTTAAAAATATGTCATGATGCAATTTTGATTTGAAAGGTAGGGTTGGTGATCCTGGAAAAACCAGCAAGAGGAAGCTTGATTTTAAGTAGAAAAACTGAAGAAATCCCACCCTTTGGTTCTAATTTCTCGCCAAAGCCGCCACTCCAAAACACAACATGCACTACTGTTCGCACTCCGTGACTCCTACATACAGATTTCAGGAAGACAGATGCCCCCAAACAAAACAAAAGTGATAATTATCTGTCCATCATAAACATGGCCACCATGGCGTCACTTTTCAGCCCCCTTTTCTTCTCTTAGTTGCCCTCGTTCAAAAGCCACACCAATCTTAAGTCTGGTTTTACTTCTTGCAGCATCCAACTTCTTTTTAGTTGTAAATTTGTCAGGTAGTGTTACCTGTCCAGATCTGCAGCCCCAAACCTTAGTTGGGAACCTCTAGTTCATGACTAAACTGCTTCAGCCCTGGGTCGTAGCCGTTAACTAGCCTTGGAAGTCCAGGCTTTTCCAACGGGGAGAACTGAAGAGAGAGGCCAACTAACTCTGTTCAAAACACAGGCCTTTTCTGTCTTGGTAATATGAACACTGCATGTGGCAAGTAGGAATTTTGGTTGACGGGCAGGTAGGTGTTGCTTGAGATTAATAAAATTATTGGTCAGGCATTTTCCAACCCTGCTGCTGCCACAGATGATTGAATTTTTTTTCCTTTGTTAGTGCATTTAATGTAATCATTGCCATCTGGATGAAAAGAATTAAGAAATTTTATAAATGCTTCTGAAAGGATTCACAAACCTTATCATTAAAATAGAAATAAGGACCAGTGATGCCCTTCCAATTCAACTTTTTTGAGATAAGAAGCATTTGCTCACGTCAAACTTTTAGCATGAATTTCTAGTCTCAGAATACTAGCTGCACCACCTGCCACTTGTTATCCAGTTTGAAAAGAACCGCACTTCACCGGAAATGGCTGGCTATCAAAATAAAAATCACAAAACACAGATGTTTAAGTGAGTGTTCACTGATCATAGCATCAGTTTCATTGACTGGCGGAACTCCTTGACGCTGCCCCCTGGCTTGGGAGGGTCATCCTGTGGGAACGTCAACTTGTCTGGTGTATAGTCGTTCCTTTTCAGATCTGACACCAAGAAAAAATGAAAAACATCAGCTTCATTACAGATTAGAATTAGAACACAAACAGTAGAATCAGTAGAAATAGAGAGTGTGGCCTGTACAGATGAACACAGCTGAGCAGTAATCCAGTGCAGGAGTCGTGTAACCAGACAGCAGCTGTAAAATCTCTCACCAGGAAGTTTGAGTTTCCGACAGCAGGAGTTGCAGTGGTGTTTTGCACGGAAGTTCCTGATGGCGTCATCGCCCAGGTTGGCTGGTCCAAACACCATATCATAGGATCTGCAGGAGTCGCACAGAAGTCGTTCAGAGGAAACATTGCAACAACAAAAAGGCAGCTGGTAAAGTTGAACCTGAACTCATTTTTAAGTCACAAGAAGCCACTTAAATGATAAAAGGTGATGTGAAGAATTAATGGAGAGTGTACTTACCCCTTCTCTCCGCTCTTTATGACTGAGGGATCTGTCAGAATCTCTCCCACACCTACAGAGGTACAAACACACACAAGCTTCGTTATCAAAGACATTAAAAAGAAAACCCAACAATACAACTCGACTAAGTGTAGTCAATAGAGAAAGACTATTAATGTAAACACATGCCACCACCAACAGATAAATTACATCCCCACAGGGCAAGCCATTGAGCTCAGCATGTTAATTCCACATGCAAAGTTAATACGTGTTGTTAAAAAAACAAAAACAAACCTGTTAAATGTTCCACACAGTTTAACACATTACAGTGCTCTCTCTCTCTATCTCTCTCTCTCTTCCTCACCCCACAGGGCAAGCCATTGAGCTCAGCATGTTAATTCCACATGCAAAGTGAATACGTGTTGTTAAAAAAACAAAAAAAAAAAACAAAAACAAACCTGTTACATGTTCCACACAGTTTAACACATTACAGTGCTCTCTCTCTCTCTCTCTCTCTCTCTTCCTACTAGGTCATATCACTATGTACCTCTGCATAACAATGGAAGCAAGTCTACACGAGCACCTACAGAATCCATGTGACCATAGTGTATACATTCGTTAGACCATGCTTTATAAGCATGTAGACAGAAATGACGATGATGTAGGCATATGACCATACATGTTGACCCTTGTATTTTCAGCCACTGGCATTAAAACTCCAGTGGACATGCTGTGTGTGCGCTAACATGCACGCTCGCTAAGCTCAATGACTTGCCATAACCATGTGAACTTCACAATTACAACAAAAACAAAAAGCCCAATTGGTTCAACTCTCTCATTGCAACAAAAAAACTACTTCAGATGAACTTGACTACATTGTAGTGATGTTAAGCTCGAAGCCAACGACTCGACACTGTATCGACCTTTCAAAGCAAAATTATTACAGCAAGATGTTTCGAGGGTTCGCTTTATGTGGCCACCCCAGTGAAGACTCAGTATGTCACAGCTGTGGTTTTGAATACTACATGTACCTCTCATTCTGCCTCAGTATTGAAGAACAGTGGTAGTGTCATGTTAAAAGTGATCCCTTTTCATAACACAAGCTTCATTAATAATAAAAACATTAAAACCACTTACAATCTGGCTGTGTCTTCCTGGTCTCAGATTTACTCCAGCCATACAAATGCAGTGTCAAAGATTTGAGCAGCAGATGCCATGAATTTTCAAAACAATTGCTTTCTATTGGTTTAGTGCGTCAGAAAGCCTCGTTTTATCCATCGCTGCTGCAGTGTAAAGGATTCACTGTGTCGGTATGTGGGCCTCATCATGTGTCCCGAGTGTGTGCCGAGTGTTTTACCCTGCAGGTCGAGCACCAGCAGCTCTCCACGGGTGTACTCGTAGGTCCAGTGGCTGAAGGCCAGCATGGTTTCCTCCAGGAGGTTGGTGGGCACAATCTCATCTCCATTGTTGTTGTTGAACTTCCTGAACTCCCCAGTGATGCACTCTTCTATAGCAAACCACTGTCCAGCAGAGTGACAGTAGAGCAGGAACACCTCCAGAAACCTGAACACACACACACACACACACACACACACAACTCAGGTTTCAGGGTGCCATGTCTGTGTCTTCACCCTGTGAACCCTCTTGAGTGCATGCTTACCTTGGTGAATAAGGAACTGTCTTTGGCCTGACTTGGTTGAAGGCAAACGTCAGCTTCTGTGCAGCTCTCTGTTGCTGAATTTCCTGCAGTGACACAGGAAAACCACAGTTCAGGTCCTGCACTATGACATATTGGAGTGTATTTGAACAAGCAAACACTATCGTGCACTTCTGGTAGAAAGTGCAAGGCAGGTTGTAAAGCTGCAGAGAACACCACCACACCCTGGAAGTGATGGAGCTACAGCAGTGCTCAAACCTGTATTTAAATCATGTCACTTGAGCCATTTAAAATATAAATACTGCTTCAGGCTGCAGGTACTCAACAATGACGAATACATCCTGAAGTTTAGGGTTGCCAGATTGTAGAGTATCCACCATATCCCCATCGTTCACTCTCCATCATAATAACCAGCATTGTGCAGAAAAAAAAACTTGCCAACTAGATCTTAACAGTAACACTATGTAGTTAAAATGACAAGATTGTTTGAGATCAGTAAAAACAATTCAGCAGCTCCTCAACACTGAGGTGCCATGCTCAAATCTACACAGACCTGAATCTAACTAAATCCATGGAGCGCTGCCAAGATAAACTTGAAGGCTTTTAATCTCAGTTCCTGTGGAGGTACTAAGCCCAGTGTTACAGCACATGAGATAAGATGATGCATCTGTGCCTCCCTACCCTGAGACAAAGGTGCAGCACAGTGTCCTCCTTATAGATGCTCTGCCAGGTTTGGACCACTTCAGGAAGGAAAGACTTGACTATATACAGGTGTCCTGGTTTCAGGATGTCGTACTCTGACCAAGTGCAGAGCACCTTGAGGGCCCGCCTGAGTCCTCCGCCCATCTCCTCCTTGCTGAGGAACTCGATTTTAGCACAGAGGCTTCGCTGGGCCCAGGAAGACATGCTGTTGTTGATAGTGTTGGGGGAGCTCTCCTCCAGGCGGTAGACAGTCACCTGCTCTCCTGAAGGAACACACAGCAAACAAATAATGTTAAACACTACATTGCTGTCTTCATGTTGAACCCTATGTTTCTGATGATCTTTCTTTAGCTTTCTCTCCTTCTGAATCTCAAAAACCAAAACATGATGAAATGAATAAAATTATGCAGTATTACAGATTTTGGGAGGCAGTGATCCAGACCTACCTCTAGGTCGCACAGGGGTGAAGGGGATACTCTGTGACAGCCTCATCAAGTTGTTGCGCTCAACAGCTACAGGAGGAAAGGCACGCACACACACACACA